CCCCCCCCCCCCCTTGCCGGCCCTTCGTCCGGGGCACGTATCTGCACGCGCGCACACGCGCATAGGAACGTCTCCTGGGCCGACGGGGGCTTGGGCGCGCGCGCGCGCGCGTGCCGCGCACCGCGCGAGGACTCGACCACTCCCCGGTATGGGGAAATCTAAGTGCCCAGTTGAGCGGCTGGCGCGAGCGAGCCAAGGGCGGCGACTTTTTTTTCAGGCCGGCCGGCCGCGCAGGGGCAGCCGATGTGGGGGTGCTGACGCCCCTTGGCCGAACGCCGAGGGCGGGTCGGGCGGGGGGGCGGGGGGAAAGGAGGGCAGCGTTGTTATTTTCACCCTGGCGAGTGAGTCGGGTCTCCACCCCCCGTCCCCCCCCCCCCCCCGCAGGCTGGCCCAGGCAACTGGCGCGGGGGGAAGGAACTCCAGCCGAAGGCATGCCGGACGCCGGACCCGGAGCTCGTGTACGCCAACAGGCGGGCCGTGCCGTCGGGCGGACTGGCTCGGCCGGTGGGGGGCGCTCGTTCGCACCCATATCGTGGTCAGTGGAGGGCCCGAGGCCGGCCAGCGACGGATGGGGCCCGACGGGCCGGGCGCCCTGCACACGGTACCGTCGGAGATCGGCCGCCGTCGCTCCTCTACCCCCCGTTCCGCCGCTTCCCCCCCCCCCCCCGCCGGGCCCATGGGAGGGAGGCGTGTGCTCCTGTGTGCGTGCCTGGCGAGCGCAGTCCCGGCACGATCGGGTCGCTCTTGGCGGGAATGCCGGCGCGCGGGGGAGCAAGCGAATAACAGAAAAAAAGAGCGCACCGCAGCGGAGGGGAATTTTGCCATGGATTTTGGCCTCGCTCTTCGCAGATCGCCAGCTGCTCGCCTCCCAGGCCGGGCCTGCTGTCGCCGGCTGGCTCGGGTGTGCGGCGTGCGTGCGTGTGTGACGGGGGACTCGCGCTGTGTTGTGCCGGGCATCGCCCGTGCGTTTTTTCGGGGCCTCGCGTCTTTGCAGCTCGCGTCCCCCGGACCGGGGCAGGGGAGGGGAGAGAGAGAGAGAGAGGGGGAGAGACACCTGGCGGCGGTGTGGGCACAGCCGGCACCGAAGGGCTCCGGCATTTTTTCCGGCCCCCGCCGGGGGGGGGGGGGGGGGGGGGCCAGGCCGCGCGGCTTCCCCTGAGCGCGGGAGGCCGG